AGAAAACGGTAATAGATGGTATACAGATAGACCTATCCGAAATTATTTTCGATCGTCGGGAACAGGAATATATCACTGCCACCTAGACTATGATCGAGACTCCTCTAAAAGAGCTTGCCGGTACTAAATCGAAATCGGCACCGAAAAACTATGGTCCCACACATGTGTGCCTACAGACTATGAACTATTCGACATCATGCATGAAGATTACCTCGGAGCAAATAGAAGAGGTAGAGTATAGTACGTTTATTAGATCCATCAGAAAAAACAAGCGACAATATAAAAATTTCTAATAGTTTGAATCTAATCCATGAAAGTTGACAAAATACTAAGAGGTTTTCTTCGTAGGAGATCTGATATATACGTATATATATGTGAGTATATTTTGGAAATTTTAGAGAAAAATCAAGCGTTATTTTCCAACAAAACTTGCTATTGAATTAGCGTCGGGTTTATCAACAAATGGATTTGCAGATCAGCAATATGGAACTGATGAAATTCAATCAGGTTTTCTTATTGTCGAAACAAATTATCGTGTTTATGCATATACAAGTCTGTTCATATGGTTTTATTCGATTTATAATTTTTTTTTTTTTACAGATAATGATTTATATTTAAAAATTACTGCACTATTTTGTAAAATGCTCTATAGGTATATTAGATTTATTGAATATGAATATGTGAACAGAAAACGAAGATTTTTGAATATCTAGATTTCCAAATATGAGTGTTGGACTTATTACTCGACAAAGCATTCGTAGAGCATTAAGCAAAGAAATCTCTGCTGATTTGGTTCGAATAGACATTAGATTTCCTTTTTTGTCAATGATTTTTTTTGTAATATATAGATTCTAAACTTTCTAAAATCTCATGCACATCCACAAATGCGTAAACGAGTATGAATCAATACACTTTTCTATCGTACATTATTTATATCTCATATTCATAGTTATTGGAAAATAAACCATTAATACCGACAACAATCAGCGATCAAATTCGTTTATGGTAAGTTGATGTCAATGAATATTAATAATCGGAATAATTCGAATGAGATATTTTGAAAACAAAATAGAAAAGATGTAAATGAGTCGTTTTTATATTGCTCAAAGTTTTTCTTCACAAATATTGTGACTAGATAAGGGTACCAGTAAAAGCTGTGGATACCTCTTCGGGACTGTATTTTTGGTTTTCAATTTGAATATACCTTTTTTTTTTGTGGACACGGACACTCATGGTTGCTTTGATTTTTAATTATGCAAGATGTTTCACAAATAAATAACAAGGTGGAGAGGTCAGAATTTCGACCCATTCGAAATTACTCTTACTGATCCTCATAAAAGTGGTATCGGTGCGTTTGGCGATGTGATTTTCTCTTGACTTCCACGCTCAGAAAAGCATCATTAGGTCGTCCTAGTGAGCACTTCGCTTCTTACGTTCACACTTATTATATACAAATAATAATTATCTTCCAAGACCACATCACTTCTAATAGGATTATCAAAGCAGACTACTCAGTAGTATGGAGTGTTACAAGTCTTTATAGGATTTCGGATTTTTAGGAAAGTTACTGAGACAAATATCGTACCAGGCCGCAATTCATGTAAGTCATCAATGTAAATATTGCTATCTTTTACAATTAAAATCAAGATAACTATGGATGTCTGTATCCACAAAAAAAAGCTATATTCTAGTTGAAAATAAAAAGCACCGCCAAGAATGAATGTCTGTAAGACATTCATTTCGAACTCTATGCTTTCTTTTGCAGCTGTGACGGTGTCTGTGAGTGTTCGCAGTTTTTACAGGTACCTGTCTAGATATGAACGAGATTGTTGTATTAATCTACCGAGGACAAGGCGTACACTCTCAAGATTATCATACTATAAAATACTTTTAGAAAATTTTTTGATATTGATATGAGGAAATGTATCCCATTAGAATTTCGAAAATTCTTTCTTCCCTTAAAAATAATTTCATCTTTCAGCAGTAAAATGAAGTCCATCAAATGTAAGATTATTTCTATTTTAAAATATTTTATATTTAATAGGGAAATGGAACAAGATCGTATTATTGATCAAGAAGGCATGCTCTATAATCAATTTAATACTGTAAATGATTTTGAATTAATTGAAAAATATGCTAAAGTAATTTGAATATCTTCTTTATTTTTATTTTTATTTTCATTTTTTATTTTTTTAGGATTTAAATGTATTACTTTGGAGTAATGCACAAAAACGATGTATTATTGTATCAAAAGCAGGTCATGAAGAAGTAAGACGTTTCTGGAAAATGCAACGACCAAAGCCTAGCAATGAAAGTTAATCAATAGATTATTTACATGGAGAAAACGAAGCAATAAGAAAACTTTTTGTGAAAAGAATTCTCACTATCTAGACAAATTTTTATACAATTGCAAGGTGTTTTTCTCATTGATTGTCAGCAAGCTTTTCTTGTATATATATATTTGAGCCCGGTAATTTCTTTTTTTTTTTCGAAAACAATAAGAAATTGGATGGTAAATAAAAAGTTGTCATCCATTTGAAATAATAGTGAAAATATAAATGAGATCATTCAATAATGAATGATGAAAGAAAACGTTTTGTACTTATATTGACGATTGTACCTGTAATGTAATAGGAACTATTAGAAATTCTCTATTGAATGGAAGCTCGTTTGTTTGTCAACAAGAAATCTTTGGTTTGGAATGAAAGAACATTCTTGTTACTTAATTTCACTCATATACTAATTGAACTAAGAGCTATTAAAAAGTTTTTCATTCAACGTCTATAAAGGATATTTGATAAATGACTATTCAAATTTGATCTACAAAATATGATATTATCATTAACGCTATACTTCTTAATGAATAGAATTAATAATAATTAATTATCTTAATTCAGAATAAATATTGTTATTAATAACTATCGTGATTCGATAAATATTTGATGGAGATATACTTTTGATGTTCCAATACTTCTTTTTTTGTATATTTAATTTATAATTATTGTCATTGGACATTTTTTTTATTGATGTATTAGGTGTTACTAACGAGGAAATCATGCCAGGTGATGCCTCACATTTGAGATGAGACATTGCTCATTATATGTGATTTATTGAAATTCGAAAGATTCCTCCCGATAGGCTGTCCTTCTGGAACTATGGCCGTCTAAGTGGGTTATTAACCTTAGTACAGTATTTACAAAAAAAAATCGAACAAACGAATTTTGACTTCAAACTTAGTCCATAAACTGTTCTTGAGATATAAAATCTCTAGAAAACCATAGTATCCTATAAAAAAGATAGACAGTCTAGTTACTTTGACGAGTTCAAATCTCGAGAAGGAATCACTCTTTTTGACTGAAATGTTTAGGATATTCTAATAGTCTCAAAAGTTGTTTATGGACAAAGTTTCAAGTCAGAATTCGTTTGTTCAATTCTTTTATATGTATTCTACCAAAAGTAAAAACTCCAGTAAAACAGTCATAACTTCAGAAGGACAGCGCTTGGAGAGAAATTCTTCTAGGTTTTTTCTAGTCTCAACAGGTTCTACCTAATGAGGAGTGTCTCATCTCAAATACGATGTATCACCCAAAGTGGTTCTCTCGTAAGTATATCAACATAGAGAGAAAATAGTTTTCCATGCTTCATGATGTCAAATCAATTGTTCGAAACACATTACTTTAAATTGTCATGTGACTTGTGTTATTCTGTTGAAGACGAAACGATTAGTAGTTATGGGTCTTGTTGTCAATTTTCTGTTACTCATTTTCAATAATTAATACATCGAAAACAAATCTTTCATAAATGTAGTATTCAAAACGCTGTGAGACAAATCGTCTGTTTACTATAAATGAATTCTTTGTGGATTTCAAAACATATTATTGTCACATATAGAATTGTATACAACAAGAAAAGAGAATTAGATTTTGTTTTCAATCTGTATGATCAATGTGGACCACATGACTGACTGAAGAAAATATATCTCGAATATACTTAATCACACAAGTCTTAGTCTCACGCTTAAAACATATTAAAAACAATATTCTCTACTGTCTATGCGACGACTGGAATTCGTCAGGTTCAAAAACTTCACAGCTGGACTCAGTCTAATCGTACTTTGATACTCTCAATAAAATTTTCTAATCGAAGTCGGATAGTCGACGCGAAGATATGAGATACTTTTTTCCAGTTTTTTTGTATACAGTGACTAGTGCACTCTACAGATTCGTCAGACGACTAGAGCGCGTTAGATCTGGAACTAACTCGATCGATTCTAGCGATAACATGCTGAATTCGCTAGTGAACAAAACATAGATAAAAACTTATACTAACTTTTTGTTTCATATTTTCTGGCTCTATTAAGTAATACTCGAAATATGTTTCTGATTGTTAAGAATGCCCTGAGGTCGCCAGGATAGGAGGGCAGATCGATGATTCAGAATACTAACTGGAAGATTTTTTGCTAAAATTAACCAGATTCTCTAGAGACCGAGCGCTATTTTTAGAATTGGTGAGCAAAAAGAGAAATAAAATGCTGGAACTTCGCTTGGGACAAACAAAACGTTCTTAAGAATGGAAAGGATCCTACGCGTCGGAACATCTCTACTGATTATTGCATTGAATACATAAAATAACTTTCATATCCAAACTTCTTTATGCCAGATGTCCGTTCTCTGTATATTACAGCAACGACATCTACATTGTGTTTCATAATAAAAGACAATCATTTTCTGTATATTTCACTTTCTAGAGCTACAAGTAAAAATTAGATTATTATCTCCTCAATTTATCAAACAAATATTTTTATATCATTTCCATAGCGCTCACTAATGAATGAATAATAAAAAAAAAGAGAAAGATTTGACAATGAAATGACTCATGCCTTTCCGAGTACTAAGAATGGCGTGATCTGCTCGAAAATAATCACAACTATAAATAAAACTTTCTTCATCATCTTTGTTTATCTATGTTGACCGAATAGTTTAAAATTAAACAAAAAAAGAATGATCAATGGAAATCTATTTCAACTTGATGAGTATCATCAACAAGGACAGCAACAAACACAACAACAATCAATAAATATCGACACAGCCACTGTAGGCGGTAAGATAATTATTTTTTCTTTTTCCGAATAAAAAAAAACAGAAAAACAATTAATGATTGATTTTATTTTAGACATCAGAGATTATTTAACATGTGATTTAAAATTATCTGATACAGCTCTCAATGACTTATTTTCTGAGTTCGATTTAAATCCAAATGATTTTCAATATTTTGATTCATCAACAAATACACATGTTTATCCTCAACAATCGGCTCAAGTTCCAGTTGAATTACCACCATCATACGATACAGCATTACTTTCAACATCATTAACTAATATAACGCAAACTCCAAATGTTCAACCAGTCATTGATGATTATCTTTCTTCTGTTGCATTAAAATCTTTAATTGAACAACATCAAACACAACAAGCAATGGTTAAATATTCTACTTCTCCTCCACTATCTGTTCCAACACCTCAAACAAGTTATTCTGAAGTAATTAAAAAAAAAAGCAACAAAATATTTTCATAGACTGTCCTTGTGTTTGTTTTCTTTTATATAAGTCTTCATCAATTTTATCAACGGATGTGTCAGAACATCAATCAAATAGGAATTCTCCTGGACGAAAAGCAACAACATCGAAACGTTCTCGACCACCACCACCGACTCATCTTCATAAATTAATTAAAAAACCAGAACCAATACCAGTTACACTAGATCAATTTCAAGCAGTATGAAAATTTTAAAAAAATTCTATTGAATTTTTATTCTTTCTTCTGTCTAGTTAATTTGTTCTACATCAGATACATCAAATTCAAATGTTGGTTCATTTTCAAATCTTCTTGAAAATAGTACTATTATTGGAAATAATATTCCTTTAAAAATTGTTAATCAAACAAATCTTATTAATAATAATAATAATAATAATAGTTCAGATGAAAATAGTCATCAAGATTCACCACCGAGTCATCCTAATATAACAACAAATATTAATTTTGGAAGTGGAACAAATATTAGTGGGGGTCGTATTCGACGAAAATCATCACATAATGCTATTGAAAAACGATATCGATCAAGTATTAATGAAAGAATACTTGAATTAAAAGAAATTGTTGCAGATACTGATGAAAAAGTAAGCAAAGAATAAATAATAACTGATAAGCAGATAAAAGATTATTCAGACTATTATGTTATCAAATTTACAAATAAAAACTATTAAATGAAGTTAACTATGAAATTTTGATATGAAATACTTGTCGTTCAACTATTCGTGAATAAATTTGAGAATATGAAAATAGACTAACATCTTCTATACATCTGCTTATACTTAAATAGGGTTCTCGATTCGTGGATCCCTTTTAAATGGTTTACATCCTGCCTTATTTTTAATAGTCACAAATATGAAACAAATAGCACATCATATATCAAGCTAGGGATGCGCGATTTAGTGATTACTAACTAGAATGAATCGGTGTCATTAACGAGGAAAATCTTTCAATTAATAGATCGCTTTCGAGCCGAAGCTATGTACATTATGTAGATCCAATTAAGCCTTAAATACCCTGAAGAAAGTTCGGACTCTTAGTCTATTGCTGTGGAGATATTGCACTTTTACAGGATTTTTTAAAATGAATGTCTTGCTCTAAAAAAACTAATTGTCGAATTGAAACTCAAGTATTTTTAATTTGTTTCTATCCTGAAATTAGAAAATCAAAGTTGTTAATTTATTTAAGCAACGTAAAAGACGCTCTATTACAATAGTTGTATTTTAGGATAGGAATAGCAACAAGATATGCAACATTGAGAAAAACTGATTCTTGCTAAAGTCTTACTTTAATGCAAAATTTCAAGTTGAAATTCAAAAATCAGTTTTCCTAGAACACGGGATCTATTTTAAAGCATATTGTAAAAGTCTAGTACCTCCGCAGCAATAAGTTAAGGGCACGAACTCTTTTCGGAGTATTCATAGCTCATTTGAGTCCACATAATGTACATTACCTCGACTTTTAATCGACTAGAATTTGTATATAGAACTCTAACAGTCTCAAAAAGAAAGCTGTTAGCACAATCTCTGCAGGATTAAAATATGAAACACTATAGCTGCTGTTGCTAATCATAGGTAGAGTGCTTTATTCAATCTATTTTAGCACATATTTCTTCATTATCCTTTTACTTAATCCTTTAGAAATGTAACAAGGAAGGAGTTTATATATAATAACTGGATGTTATTAATACATTGTCTGTGATGAGTTGTCAAGATGTTTGCGATGACCTATGGGTTCAAAGGCGACTATAAGCTTTTCACTGATTTTCGACTACATAAAGGAATATATGTAAGATTCTAAATAAAGACTTTTTCTACAATCCTACGTATATTTCATTTTGTAGTCAAATCTTTATTGTCACATTCATGCATTTATACTTCAACACTCCGTTTAGATTATAATTGTAAATGATATATAATAGTTGAAGGATTTCAAAGCTCTCATTGAGTAATAACATATACACATGCATTTGTTTTGTTTTTATTATTGGACAAGTCATTGATTACATGTACAAATATTTTCTATATTATATCATTTCTCTCGATGAAGATCAATTATGTATTGATAACTAATTCATCTATTCTTTTGTTTTCTATTAGGTACAAAAATCTGGTGTATTAAGACGTACAATTGAATATATTCGACAGCTTCAATCATCTAATCGGCGATTAGAAGAAGAAAATATAACTTTAAAAACAATTTTGAAACGATTAAATTTAACAAGTAAGTCTACATCACTCATATCTAATTATTTCCTGACATATTTCAATTCTAAATTCTTTTTTCTTTATTGTTTTTTTCTCTCAATAAATCTCACGATTGGTCGATTGCTATTTAGCAATGATTACCGATAGTTTGAAATAACACAAAGAAATATTATTAGCCTATAGCAAGAGCATTATGCATTCATTATTTCTTTGATTGTTTAGACATTGATATTCCAAATAATAATAATATATCATCATCAGATAGAAATACTTTGGCTAAAAATCCAACAACACCACCATCATCACTTAGTGATTCAAGTGAATCAACACTTGGTTCAAGTGATGAAGCATATAGTCCTGTGCCAAAACGTAAAAACTAATCTTATTTTTGAATAATTAATTAATTAATTAAATTATTTTCTTTGTTCAAGGACAAAAACGAACAACTAGTAAACAAGGTATGGTTAATGGAACACGATTAGTTTTATGTTGTTTTATGTTATGTGTTCTTATAACAAATCCATTTAATTATTTACTTAATCTTATTCATTCATCGGATTATAATGATGCAACTGAAATGCAATATATTGTTGGTTCAAGAACATTACAGGGTATAACAAACAATGACAATACTAATACATCAAGTAAGTTAACAAATTCTTCTCAATCTTTAAATTAATTATTTATTAATAGCATTTCTAAGTACATCATGGCGACAATTGGTTGCTTGGATGCTTAATTTAGCTATATGTCTTGTTTGTTTGGTAAAACTATTTGTCTATGGTGAACCAATTGTAGCCGAATCTGAAATGAATGAATATTATGTTAATAAGAAAAAAGCAGATCAACTTATGACTGAAGTATGTAAATGTTTATGTCTTTGTCTTATGCTCATATATGCATTAAGAGTATTAAGAAAAATCAGAACTGAATGAATAATTGACTAGCTCTGGTTATTTGTACTAAAAATTATTGAAAACTTCTATTGATTGAAATTTGAAAATGTGAAGTTGTTTGTAGTTCGGACGATAAAATTAAATAATAATTGTGTGCTAACACCGACTAGAGAGTCATTTTTCTTTATATTTTGGGTTTTCTTGACATTCATTCATTGAAAATTAACGTCTTATTGTAATGGCTCACTGTGTTTAACAGAATGCATATCATATAAAAAAGTAAAGCAGTTATCATTAGAATCTTAAAAATAGAAATGAACAAGATTTTTCTTGAATAAATTGAGTATTATGTTTTTTATTAATATTGATTATTTGTCTTTAGAATCGATTAAATGAAGCACGTACGTACTATCGTAAATGTTGTGAAAAACTATACGTAACGATTGACAATACACCTCTTTATTATTTATCATCAATAACATGGCAAATAACACGTTTATGTGTTAATTTAATATTTCTTGGTCGTTGGTTAATATTTTGGTCTGGTTGGACAAAATCTATTGATACACGTGATTATAATCGTGAATTAAATGATTGTCTTTTACAATTATGGAAAATTGAATATCAATATTCATCATCATCATTATCATTATTTGATTTATTTATATCAACAATAAATACATCAATGAATGCAGGCAAAAAATTAGATATAAAAAAACGAAATGAAATTTATTTATTATCAGCATTAACATTAAAACAATTAGGTGGAATATTTTCAATATTTATTCCATATGTATTAAAATGTCTTTCATTAATTGATAATAATGATTTATGGTTAGCTGATATTGATCGTTTAAATCAATTTATATCTGATAAAAAATATATTTTATTTAAACATAATAATTTTATTGAATCAATACGTTCACAATATCATGAATATATTCTTTATGATAATATACAAAATCAACTTTCATTTCAAGATAATATACAACAACAACAAGATATAATTTTGAAAAATAATTTTGATTTAGATCGTTTTACATGGTGGCAACATTGTTTACAAGTTATACGGTGTATATCAAATGATAAACAATCAATTGACAATATTATATCAAGTGATGTACTACGACAAAGTGAAGAATCAAATCAAACTATTTATGATATGGCACGATCAATGAATCTTGTTGAGTAAGTTCTATATAAAAACAAACGAGATCAATTTTTCTATTTTTGTTTTTATAGTAAAAGATTTATAATAATTATTGAAACAATTCATAGTATACTACTTATACTTAATGATGATGATGATCAAACAAATTCAACTCGAATATCATTATTAGAACAATTAGGACAATCAAGTCGATTAATAACATCAATGATTGAAAATTCTGTTAATAATCCTAATAATAATAATAATTATGATAACCTTGATTTGGTATGTTATAGATATTGTGATTTTAAAACTTTTATCTTCAGTCTTTTGCACATTGTTGTTTCATTCTTAACATTTTATAACATGCAATGAATAAGAATAATGCAACAAGAAAGAGGAGAATTGTCATTACTTAAATATATTCTCCATTCATTTATTTTTTTTATCTATTTTAGGCAGTTAAAACTTTATTAATCGATGGTATTCTTTCACTACGTCTTCGTCTTCTTACAAGTACAATGACAAATAATGATAAACAAATCCCATATCTTAATGATTTTCAACAAGAATTAGATAACTATAAACAACTTAATCGAATGATGAAGTTACCTAAACAAAGAGTAACTTGAATAATTATAAACATAAATATATTTTTCTATGATTTTTTATTATTATAGCTTTATTTATTTGAATCAGTCTATCGTGTTTTATCCGGTTTAAATCCTTTAGTTATACAAACATTATTTGAACGTGCACTAAAACAACAATATTCAACAGTTCAATTTAAAGAAGGTAAAAATAAATAAAGATTCAAAATACAATTTTGAGCTTATTTTTATTGTAGAATCACCAAATCTCGATATAATTGCAGCACTTTTATTATTTTGCCATTTTTTACCTTCGACGGTATATCACTATCGAAATATTCTACAACAAGCTGCTTGTATATCATCAACAACAAACAAAAATAATGACCTTAATCGTTTACGACAACAATGTTTATTATTAGTTCGTCAACCATATTTTACTCTTTAAATATTTTTAACTTGTACAAACATACTATTTCTTTTTATAGTATCAATTATTGTATTAAGAGGAGGGAAAGAAGCAGAGAAAAAGAAAAAAAAGCGGCTTTTATTGTATGTTGAAAAATATATTATTTAAACTTTCGAAATTTTCTTCTTTAACACTTTACACATTAATGTTATTTCTGCATGACGCTTTTTTAAATTTTCTAATTTATCCGTACATTTTCCAATTTCATCATAACGTTCTTCATAATCACGTAATAAGTGTTCATTACCAATAAGGCCAGATGTTTGTTTTAATGATTGATTGTCTTGTCTTAAATGATCACGACGACGTTTTATTGTTGATAGTTCATCACGTTTCTATTCGAAAGAAAGATATTTAAATAAAACATAACAATTCTAAATTTCTCTTTTTCTTCCTATATTCAATGAGAATTATACAAAAGCTTTTTTCATTCGAAGAATTCGATTATCGAGTATTACCTATAGCATGAAAGTCTTGAAATATAATGTTGATTCATTCTCCAACCACATAAAAGCAACTAGTTGAAATCAGATTTACTCGTTATTTCCGAATTTGTATTCGAAATTTCAATGTAAGGTAAGACTGGATAACTTTAATCAAATTGTTTCAAAAGATTCAAAGTAGTAGTTGTACAAAATAACTATTCCGATCGATTGTCTATTTCGGTTGAAAACTATCACATTCAAAATGTGAAACAATTTTTAATACCTCAGTTTGCTCTACAAAGCGTGGTATTTACTTTTGCATAAGAGATTTTTAAAGTTTCTTATTTTTAAAAGCAATTTTTGGCACAATGATTTCCCGTAGAAACTAACACTTCATTGAAATGATATTTCGTTTACTGTAATATCTCATTTTGTACAGATTTCAATGCTCCACAATAATCTGGAGTTGAATATGTTCTAAGGAAGAAACTAAAAACTGCACTAAAACCGCTATTTTGCATTATACACACGCAGTTTTCAACTTTTCCACAAAATTCATAGACAGCTGTTCAGTCTAACCTCATAAATAAAATCTAAATATATATTCGAAAGTAGCGAACAATTTTCGTCCCTAACAAGTTGTCTTGTAGTGGTCGGAAAATGACCGAATATATTGTACCAAGGCTTTCACTTTATAAGGTAATTGTCTTAGAATGGGACAGAAGCAAAAAACATTAAGTTCTACACATCTTTATTTCTAACGAGGAAATCTTTCAAACTTGAAAACCGTTTCTGAGCTCGAACTCTGAGCATAAATTAAACCACAATACGGTATTAAAAACCCAAAAGAATAAGGACCCTTGCACTTTTCCTACAGACTTATAGCTGTTTTACGGAAATTTTAGCCTGTAGGAAAGTATGTACAAAAGAATCGAATGGTAATATTTTGACCCGAAATTTCACACAGATAGGCCTGTATGTAACTAGAATCTTCTGAAAACTTTAGATCAAAATATTGTCATTAGATTCTTTTCTACATACGTGCTATGCACTGAGGTTTCAGTAAAACAGTCATAACTTTGTAGAGAAGGCTTAGGGAGCCTTATCTTTTTGAGACTTTTCATACCTCAGCAAATCTACTTGCTGCACAGAGTCCAAACTCAAAAGTGGTTTTCAGGTTCGAAAGGTTCCTTTGTAAGTATGTAATAGGTCTATGTCAACAATATAGATTAACTTCGTTGAAAATTTTTCTTCATTTCATTGTAACAATTGATACGAACAAAAACCATTGATATATCTGAAAGCTAATTACAGCTGAATAAATAAAAATCAAACATTCAAATTTCATGTCTACATTATTGATTATTCACAGACAGAATAAAATTCTTTTCAAACAGCTATGATTTATTCTCGATGTAACTAAAAGAATCAAAATGTCAATAAAACAACTTTTCCTACTGAATTTCTACTAATTATAATAATTATTAATACGCATCAAATTTTTATTTTGTATAAAATCTTTTGTAGAATTGATTGATAAAAACATTCTTTAATTTTGAACCTTTTTAATTTTGAAAAATCTAACCATTTCAGCACATTTATTCTCTTGTTCTTAAACCATTTGTATTTAAAGACAACACAGAAAATATTTCAAAAAATTACATTTTCGTTATTTTAATTAAACACTTTAAACTGTTTCTTGTAGTATAAGGTATCTATTAGAAATTTGTCTCAAGCAGAAATGGTCTCGATTATGTCAGTATTGAGCAATAAAAATTGTTTGTCAATATATCCTACACCGAGAAAATAAATGTTTTCAAATATTGACTATGTAAAATGTACTTTAACAAGAAACCCTATTTAGACTTAAAACATATTAATCAAAACTAACTAAGTATATATATATATACCTGTTTGACTTCTTTTTCTTTGGTTGCAAGTATTTCTGCTGCTTCAATACGTTGTTCGTTAACAAAATTAAGTTTTTCTTTAATATGACTAAGAATTTGAACAGTTGTACTAATTTTTTTACGAAGTTTCATTAATTCCTTTGTTTTTTTTTCAAAATAGAAATAATATTGAAATAAATAAAATTAAAAGAAATTGATTTACTTCATTTCTTTCTTCAATTTTTTCACTATATGTTTGATTTTCAATTTTTAATTGTTCAAAATCAATCATATGAAGTCCTTCAGCTAATTCTTCTTTAGCTTTTAATTGTAATTCACGTTTTTTTAATTGATTTTTTAAACGAATATTTTCATGACGTGTCTAAAAACAAAGGACGAAAATTATTTTTTTTACTTCAATCTAAATATAAATCATATAATTCTCTCATACTTTTATTAATTCTTCTTCTTTTTCTCGTAATAATGTTAAATAATTTTCCACTTCCTAAAAAAAAGTAAATATATTAATTTAATGCTTGAAATAAAATAGAAACTGATTTAGAAAGAGTCAAGCACTGCAAAGGTCTATAAGAAGTATAATTATAATAAGTTAAGGATAAAAATACCCACGAGAGAAAACTTTCTTGGCGATGAACGCCAATCCTGTATTAAAAGTTATATCAAGATTTATACAAAAATTCATTGAATTATTTCGATTATTCAATTAAATACCTGATTTGAAATAGATTTCCCACTACGAGCAAAAACAGCTTTTGATGCAATCTCTCGAACTAATTTAACATAATCAGCTTTTAATTGTTCAACATGTTCTTTTTTCTTTTGAATTTGTTGTTCATAATTATTTCGTTTTGATTCATAATCAGTTTGATCATGTTTTATATGATCTTGTAAGGTTTCAATTTCACTAAGATATTTTTGATAACGTTGTTGTTGTTCAAGCATTAAACGTTCATTTCCTTGATTAAATGCTGGTAAATCATCGGTACCCTATAAATTTTTATATATGATCATTAATATAAAATTTATCAATTGTTTTTCTTTCTATAAAATACCTTTCGTTTATGTAAATAATCAGCTAATCGTTGTTGTAATGCTAAATTAATACTTTTTAAACGATCACGTTCAGCTTCGGCAGCCTTTTAAAATAAAAAATAAGATTGAATTTTTTAAAATCAAGATTAACAAACTTGATAACGAGCTAAAAGTTCTTCACGGCTTATTCGTATTTCAGGTTCCTCATGAACTATATCATGTTCTTCTTCTTGTTCTAATTTTTCAAAATCTCTAAAAAAGAAATCTATCGCGTTTTTTTTCTCAATTTCAAAAAAACAATTTGAGTACATACACTTGTGGTGTTTCTCTTTGACCTTTAGCTGAACGCTCTCGACCAGATTTAGCTGATCGACGCTGATCATCATAAGATGTCTATACATTTAAAAAAAGCAAATAAAACACACAGCTATATTATTTATTAAAATACTGAACTCATTACTAACAAATGTTATTTCATCTGGTTTAATATGTTCGTCCGTTGATACAACATGTGGCGTAGCAGTCAATGAGTCGTCCGCTGGTGGTATAGGTGATCCAATAACTTCCGTTAAAGGTTTTTCGGCATCGAATATTGCTACTGATTCATCGTTCGCACCTTCTTCTTCTTTAATACCTGCTAAAGTTCCTTCTTCATCTAGTTGTCCTTGGATTTCATTTTCTGCATCACTTGCTGGTTGTGCACCATCTTCAGCTTCATCTTCAGTAATAGGTTTTTCAATAGATGATGGTTCTTCACCTTCAGCTTGTTGATCTTCGTCTGTTGTTACATTATCACTAACAGCAATTATTTCATTTTCTAATGTTGGTGTTTGTTCATAATCAACACCTGAATCTTCACGTGGTTGTAAGTCAGTAGCCGTTGTTGTTGTATCATGAATCGGTGGTTGTTGTTGTGCACCCGTATGTGGAAAATGAGTTCCTTCAGCGACTTGTTCAAGTCCTTCATTTTCTTCATCACCTTCGGGAATAGTTGGTGGTTGATGCATTTTAGAAAATCTACAAATAAGAAATGCATTGATAGAATAGATACAAGTTTATATTTTGTTTTTCTTTTATTTCATTAGAATCCTCTAATTAAAAATTCAATAATCATAAACACAACAAGATATTATATTTGTTCAGCTTATTTGACAAAATGAATCACAATAGCATTCTTTTCTTTTTTATTCTTTACAATTTGATTCTTTTTAATACAAAAATATATATTATTTCATTTACTTTTGCACTTATCTGTCAATCGACGAGAACCAAAAACGGGTGACTCTTTCTTTCTGTTCTATGCATGGAGTCTTTTCATTTCAAAGAAAAACAAAATCAATATTGGATGCCCTTCTTGTATTCGTGCATAGAAAATAAATTATAGTCAAACAACGTCATCTTTTACTAATTTTGAATAATACAGTCAAGATAAGAACAAACTTAATATTTTACAGCGAACATTAATCAATAAGCAAAAAGAAAAAAATTCATACAAATGTAAGTAGCATGATGTTTATTGTACAATGCATAAGGATAAATATGAAAACAAGATGATTGATTTCTAATAGGCATGAAAATATTTTTTTAAGCCATACAATTATGGACAATATTTTTCGAATAATTTTGTTCTAAGTGCAGCTTCATTGAAAAGCTGTCTTTTGACATGCGATTTTCGCCACTTGTACAATTGTTCTCTCTAGTATATCTATATCAAAAGTTCAACTCAGGAATTTGAGTCGCCGATGAATCGAAGTAGCCAACAGTCAGAAGGAAGATGTGTCGTGATTTTTTGCAAAGGAAAAATATCTTCCTTCCAACAAATGCAATAAGAGAATTTCAGCTCTGGTGGAAATAAATGAAAGATTTGCACAATTTTAGAGGCATGAGATTCTCTCTCGGTCATGTCGGTGCTAGAATCCTGCATGGAGTCAACTAAATTTTTTTGCCCAAACATTCAGTTTTAACATATGAACTTTTTTAATAGTAGGTTTTATTCTCTGACATTTGCTGTACAAACTGATGCATTTGGAGGTTCAAACGATATCTTATCAAGGCCTATGGGCATGAAAGAAAATCAGAATTGAAAAAAGTCCGAGTTAAAATTGAGTCCGACTTTGTTTCGTACCTAGATGCATTTGTAAAACATTGTTGAAACCTCCAAAATAAGTTAGCTTGTGCAACAAATATCAGAGAACGAAATCTACTATTCAAAGAAGTTCATATGTTAGAGCTGAATTTTTCGGCAAAAAAATTAGTTGACTCCAGAATTGACTCGATGTAAGACTCTAGTTATCACTGAGTTGAATCATACTCGAACTGGTCCTATAACAATTCAATATATCCACTATTTTGTCAACGAAAATTATTTTGGCTTTGAAAATGTTTAAAAAAAATAAAACCCATACAAACGAATAGAAGAAAATATGAGCTACATATTGACAAACAAAACCTTTTGAAGAAAAGCTTTCTATAAAGCAATGTGCCTACTTTACGATAGATCCATTTTTACATGAAGAAATTTTTCACGTGAATTGCGACATTAGATCATAAGGACAATATTCCTGAAGATGATTTTCAATGTTATCGCTTGCCTGAGAACGTTGTCTCTATGATCTAATGCCATAGTTCAAAAGAAAAATTTCTTCATGTCAATAAAGATCTGCGATAAAGTAGGCAAATTGCTTCATAGTAATCATTCCTTTACATAGTTTTATTTGATAGAATGTAGCCCATATTCTTCCGTATTCGCTCTTTTGGATTATGTTTTTTTTAAATATTTTTCGAGAGAAATAGTTTTCGTTGACGAAAAAGTTATTACCTCGCACTATTATAAGTCTAGATCAAGTACAACTGAATTCAATGATGGTCCAATCTGGAGAATGTAGCACTTATCCAATCGTTGGGAAAATGTTTTTTCCAGAAGAGTTGAGATTCTCTTATTGCATTTTATTAGAAGAAAGGTATCTTCGCTTCGTGAAAAACCGTAACACCTCTATAGTTTTGACTACATCGGCCTAGCACTGATTCAACTTTCTGAGTTACATTTTCTGTGCAAATATACTATCGACAATGACTATGCAATTGGGAAAAAAGCAGCGTATCAAAAGATAGCTTTTTAATGAAGTTACATTTAAAACAAAAAAGTATGAAAAGTTTTATTCATCATGATATTTTCAAGATTTCTATGAAAAATTTAAAATCTGCACTATCTTTTTATATTTATAGTTATGTCAGGTATTGAGATTTGCTAATGAACGAATTAACAATTTGTAATGGTCGTGTTCGTCCACGGGCACAATCTCTTTTTGAATTTCGTTCACAAACTAATACTGAGATAACGATTGCATTACTCGATAGATTTATTGCACCTCGAGATACAACTTGTCCTTCTAATGAAACTGTGAGTTCATCAGATCAATGCAATGTCATTATTCAAACCGGTATACGGTGTACAATATTTTTTATATGTCAACCTATTATAGCTGGATTTTTTATTTTTCCATTATTAATACTCTTTTGGCAAGCCGGATGGAATTTTATGGTAGTATGGCTTGATACTCCTATTGGCAAACATTGGATAGTGTTAGTTATGCTATATTTCTTGGCTCAATTAATCTTTCTTTTTATCTATTTAAATCAAGATCATCTATACGATTATCTTCATAAACAAAAAACAAAATTATTTATCTCTATTATTTTACAATGTCATAATTTTATTACTTCTTCAAATTATATAATACAATGGGTATCAATGTGGACAATATGGGATCGCTATACACCAGCCGATTGGCTACTTATGCTCATAGTTAGTATAGCAGCATTATTTGCTGTTATTGCTTTAATGGGACATCCATGTGATCTTGTATGTGCTCCATTCATACTTAGTTATGATTCAATTGAATATAATATTCGAATTGGATCACCATTTTTAACAGAAAACGTAATTGATTTAATTTATTTAAAAAAAAAAGCGAAAACAAAAAAACGAAGCCTAATTCTTTTCTTATTTTAGATAAATGAATGTCTCGCTCATTTTCTTAATTATATTTTTTATGAATATATTATGTCACTTTTATCTATCTTAGCATGGCGTGGTTCCTATACATTACTTGATGTTTTTCTTTTTCCAAAAAATCCTTTTATGTCAGCTAGCTCAAGTCTATTAATGGGCTATCCATTATATTTTTTGCTAATGTATACTCAATCTTATACAAGTAAAATTTGTCAATTACCAATATTTTCCTGTTTAAATCATCCATCTTTAATACATAATATTCGTCATCTAACTGCTTTTTTTACATGTGTTTTATTATGGAGAGGTTTCTGGCTATTATTTGATACATATATTGCTACAATGACATTAGCATTAAAATCTCCTTATTTATTTTATATAATATGTATGTTTATATCATTTTTTATCTTAAGTCTTTTAAAAACTGCATCATCTATTAATGGTCCTATGTCACATATGTTTGATCCATATGATCTATTTCCTGATTATCCAAATAGTTATTTAGTTCAATGGTTTAATCAAATGAAAAAATCTGATGATATATCATCAAATTCAAGTAAAAATACAAGAAATGAACCGTATACTGTTGCACATCTCTAATAAAACAAAATAAAGAAAAAATTATTAGATTTCTGTTTTTCTTTTTTTTTTATAAATATATTTATATAAATATATCTACAAGATTGTGTTGTTTTTTAACTCATTTTTTTATGCTCACTAGCCGGTTGAGAAAGAGCAGTTGTTGTTGCACGTTCAAAACTTGCTTCACCTTCGATCATAGGTAACATACGTAATGAGCCATTGGTTGGTACATTTGCTTGCATTGATACATGTCTTGATTCCGTTAAACTTGAATTTGTTCGATCATCAATATCACGAATTTGTTGATATCGAATAGATTTATCTAATAAAAAGAAAAAAAAACAATTTTTTTCTATTATAGCTTATGAAACATCTTTAGAAAATTGAGTTTTCTATCATTTTAATAGTGTTGCTAGCACTTAATGCTCAAAAAGAAGAAAGTATCTTTTATCTCTGGTATCATAATGAAACATTTTTATACTATATTTTAGTCGCTTAGAATGATTTAATATATTCTGTTTCAATGGTCTACTTTTTACCTGTTATTCTTGTTTTTATATGATCATAATTTAATATAATTTTATACGTCTTTTTTCATACCACTGTATCCTGATTGAGAAAATTTTTTTAATCCTTATATCAAAACGTATTCTACTCGTTGAATTTTTTGTTTCTAAAAAATATCTTAATATCTAAATAAATAACAGAAAAAGAACAGAACTGCTACTGGAGTAAAGGTCGAGTAGAAAAGATGATTGGCCACATGAGCTCGAAAAATATCAGAATGTGATTCTATACGCCATCTGTTATTTCTAATTCTGAAACTTTTGTAGAGAAAATCCTTATGAATTTCAGTCTCGTTCAGTTACCTTGACTCAGCTGACAAGTCTGCATATAGCTGAATCAATTATCATCATGTAAGGAAACTCTCCGCTGTTAATCATTGTCTTCCGCATTTTTACAGCCCCCGAAGGAATCGAGTTTCTAAAAAACAGATTTCAAATGTGTACTATTCATATTCTCACGATTTTAGCAAACTTTTTCATTTCTAAATCATAGTTATGTGTCGAAAAGGAGTAGCTAATGCGACGAGAAGAAGATAAATTTGCCATGGTAACTAAATGAATGGGAAAAAAAGTCAACTGCTGTTATTTTTCCAGTCAATCATCTTTCAGTCAATGAAACAAATGCGATTCGAGGCACGAAATAGTTCGGTCCGCAGGACTCTACCATTATCCTACCATACAGGTATGTTTAAACAACAGAATAAATACCAATAACAATTATCGAAGATATCTTTAATGACTAGATCTCAACTTCTAATTTTAAGTTCTACTATTTATAATTTATTTGGGTATGAGTAAAAATTGATTCAGTAATATTCTTTTTACTTAATGATTAACGACGATATAATGTGAAACTCAGAAACGTGTAATTTATTTAAAAAATATTCTTGATTTTGATCACGCGATCGATCGAGTCCAATTAATTTGATTTTGAATGTATAAAAAGAGAAATTAATTATCAGAAGTTTTGACAACTTAAATAACTGAAATAATTGAATTCATCTCTTGAGACAAAAATGCATTATTGCATAGTTTAAGATTAAACCTTGAAATCTAGTCATTAAAAATACCTTTGACTATTGTATTATCCATCAAGTCCTTTTCAAAATTAAGTTGAAGAGTTACTGAATCAACGAAAAAATTTATTTATATTATTACAGTAAAGGGCTTTGCGAATTATAATCCTAATACCACAAAAAAGAACAAGATTGGTAAAGAAGAAGAAGAAAAGGAAAAATAAAATAAAATTAGAGTAGCACTCTTCGTAATCAGGAGAAAACATATGTTGTCCTGAAATAAAGTATAAGAATGAGAAAACAATTCTAACACAGGTTCATAACAGTTTTTATGACATTTTCAAGCGGATGAGTTAACAGAAGAGTGGATTATTAAAATAATGAGGTTTTAAATTACAGAAATGGTAGAGAACTAGCAGTAGAGGCGGCAACACTGCATTTCAAGACAAGTGAAAAATCTCCTTTGTTGCAATATTACTGCTATATTTTTTATTATTGCTATTCTTACTCGATCATTAATTACATGGAATAGCTTGAATAAAAAGAAAAAAAAAAGTCATTCTTATAGCTCCTTCATTTCAAAGTTTTGTCATATTATCATTGGTAATGATGAGTTTTCGAAACAAAGAGTATGACAATTCAAAAAAGAATTCTGTTTTCATAGTTCTATTCAGTTGTTAATTATTATCTATCTAAAATTGGTCAGAATATTTGATTTTAAACTACATACCAGATATAATATTTGATGAACCACTTGTACCAATTGTTCTCCAATCAAGTAAATATTCATCATAATTAAGATTATGTGTCCATTCAAGTAATTCATTAACTTCCCAATCTTCAACAGCTTCTGCACCGTATGCATTATATATTCTTAATATACTTGTTGTTGTTTCATTGATAAGTCGAGACATTTCTTTTTCATCTTCATTTTCTTTCAGTTCATCATTCTTATCTGCATTAAGCATACCAGCTTTATACCTATGTGAATCATATTTGTTTAAAAAAAAACTAACGACGCAAAAGAATATATCATACATTTTTTTAAGCCATTCTAATTTTTTTTGTTTGCGTCTTTGCTCAACATCTTGCCGTCGCTGCATCTACTAAGAATAAATCAAAGATTTGTAAACATTATATTTGAAAAAAAGAAAAATTCATTTTCTCATACTCTTGAATGTGAAAATGGGGTAGGTTTTTTCAAATCACTTGAAGCAAAATATTGATCCATATTAACTTGTAGTAAATGTGTATAAGCAACTGGTCTCCAACCATTATTTTCCATTCGACGATACCATCCTTCTTGATCTAAGACAATTATTAAATTCATAATAACAACAGCAACAAAAAATCGCAATGCTTGAATATTCAAAGAATACAAACCTTGTTGTGGAAATCGATTTAACTTATTATTCGAATCAACTGCACTTTTTAATCTTAAATAAGGACGAGTATAATCTCTTGGCGCATTAGCACATATATCTTGTATAGGTCGGTTTGTAAAAATTTTATAATAAATTGTCGGTGGGAAACGTTCGCCAGCTAAACGAAATCGTATGCGAACACCAGCTGCTGAATCTATATATTTTGATTCTGTTGGATTTATTGTACGCATTAAGATTTGTGGATCACCATTATTATGAAAATGAATTAGATCACGATAGAAACGAAATACTTGTACATCCTAAGCAAGAAAAAAACACAAACGTTTCTTCGAAGAGCAAAAAAAAATTTATTCATATACAATATAGCGACGCCATAATCGTTGAATTTTTCGAAGTCCTTCGATTTGTTTTTCTGTATATTCCTGTGACATGTCTCAAGCAAATAAATATATAGTATATAAAAATAAAGCTAAAAAAAACGAAGCCATTATTACATGATGTTGCTAAGGAAATACCTTTAACATAAACGTTGATATGATACTTTTTGACTTTTTTCATTGGTTTAATATTTAAATCAGATAAAAATTCACCGAAATAATAATTAAATAAAAGACGAAAACTTTTTGGTCGAAGCCGTAAAATCTAATTGGTTAAAATTAATGGAAATCAGAGAATCGATTATACTGTGCGATTTTCGGCGAAAAATTTAAAATATTCAATTTTTTTAATATAATTCAATTCGTAGATGGCATTTGTCAACAGTTGTTTTTTTATTTTTTTTACATCACATCACATCACAAACAAAAATTTCGTTGGTATATTCACATCATTACAATTAAATTTCCAATTTCAATTTCATTTTAATAAATAAATCAATATCATATTCAATCGATTGTTTCCAAAATAAAAAGTAAGTCAAAATAATGTCGTACTATGATTATAAAAAATTTTGTATCTATGCTTATTTTTACCACAGGTGCTTTTCGCTAACTAATGAAAATATGCAGACAGATACGTAAATCATTGTCTGAATAGAGACAGTATTTTTTTATGACAAAAGCTCCATGAGATTCGATGACATATAACGTCTTTTATTATTTTCCGAGAATTTCAAAGGATTTCCTAAACAGTATCTAAGTTTCAGCTAACAGAGACATAGGAGGTAATGAAGATATAAAACGCAATGCAAATACTGGAGTTAATTCAGGTAGTGGAAGTATACAGCTAGTGTTGTACTTTACTATCGGTTAAAATGTATTATCGAAAGTGGCAGCAAAACTAAATGACTAACGGAACGAATCGAAAATTACCGAAAGTTTTGCAATAACATCAAGAATCGCACTCTATGAAGGTGCAGTGGAATTTTGACACATCGATCCATACACATTGTGAAGACATCCTGCCAAGTAAGGGTGTCTCAGAATCCACTAGCTCCTTTGTCTATCCTAACAAAAACTCAAGCAATGTTTGGGAAATTCCTAAAAAGTATTTAATCTTCGATAAATATACATATAGACGTGATTAGCTAACATGATGCCTTAGTTCTTATTCTTTTATGAGGCTTCATACAGATATAAGAAAAATATGATTTTCTTTTTGCTCTTTATAGTATATATATAATGGACTAGGCGTAGTAAAGTGCACTGTTAGTGTAAATATTGAATGATGAGTCACCGGTACAAGATCTACCTAATTGCTAATTACACTAGCTTCGATGTTCACTAAGGTATTAACTACCAGAGACCGAAAACGAGTCGAGTACTCGACAAATCGACTCGACTCGACTAAATGCCGAGTCGAGTCGAGTTAAAGATTTTTCGAGATGTGTCGAGTCGAGTCGAGTCCAGTGATATCTACTCCCGAGTCGAGTCGAGTCGAGTTTGACTCCATTGACTCGACCTTTTCAATTTTTTTTGTAATTCTTTCTGTTTTTTCTCACCAAGAATGCTAGTTCGTTTTGACTTCATCAAAACAGTACAATATTAATTGATCACAATGAATTTGTCAGATAGTCAGTGTCAATGGCGAAACATCAATGAATCGACAGCGTTGAATGGAGTAAAATGAATAGCTTACAATAACTTTCATTTTACTCAAATATCCGTCGAGTCGAGTCGAGTCGAGTGAATATCGAAGTTGGGTCGAGTCGAGTCGAGTTAGGTTTTTTCAAATGTCTGTCGAGTCGAATCGAATCGAGTGAATACTTAAGTCGAGTCGAGTCGAGTCGAGTCGAATCAGATTTTTTTGACTCGTTTCGATCTCTGTTAACTACACTGACACTCGCGCTCGCTACCACATTGAGATACCAACTCTATGACAATATGACTTCTTTTGTATCGGTAATTTCCAACGCTTCAGTGCACACTCAAGTCAATGTACATTAACTATATTGGGTTAGTACCTAGGCAGACAAGGGATTTCTAAAAACGCATTTAAACACTCTAATCATGGTTCTCGTCTGAGCGTTTTTAAGTTCATTCTTAAAACACCAAACGCAGCTATTTTCATTATAAAAGATGTACAAAGACGCTTTAAAAGGCAACTTTGGCATGTGGAAAGCATCTAGAAAGTTTTCTCATCTTTTTGACATACACCATGAATAAAAGGAGTCATTTATGTCTGTAAAATGCCAAAGTATTTCGAAAAAACAATTTTGTATGTTTTCCAGATGCTAACGCTTCAATTTTTAAGCACTTTCACATATCTTGCATGATGAAAATAGCTGTCTTTTATATTTTCTGAATGAATGTGAAAATACTCAAACGAGAACCGCGATTAGAGGATAGAAATGCGTCTTCAGAAATTTTTGTCTGCTTGGATGATCAATAAACTGAAACTGCACATGCTTGGGTGAGTAAGCGTGGATGGCTGGGATCAGAATCTTCTTTTTATCCATGCCCACCCATACGCGATGGTTGTCACCTGTAACGGTAAGCGATCAGCCGGCATGGATTTTTTAATGTTTTGCATATCTTTTTGTCCTCGCAAATAAAACCAGTTTTACTGATACTAATGACTATTTCTATAAATGAGTATGCATTAGTATATTTCTGTTCAGTGAGTATTCATCAAAGTATGCTTAATAGATTTTATCAACTCCATTCGATATCAAATTATATTATTGAAATAGAATGAAAACTGTTGCTCGTCATTGTCATTTATTATATTTTTATTTTATTTTATTTTATACAATATCTTTCACAGAGACATAGGAGATAACACAGTAAATATATTGTGAGAAGCAAAAGTAAATTTACAGGTGATTCGAAATATCTATGTGTAACAAACATTTAATTAATTTATAAGGCTATTATAGAATTTCTACTTCTATGAAATTGTTTATTGATTGATAGACACCAAGGGAGAGAAAACTTGTGGAAATAGATAGTACAGAAAAAGCTTTCCGTACAACCCCTACGGGATTAAAATATTAAAGACAACGAAACCATTTTAACCATTGTGCGAAACCTCATCATCCATATGACAAATTATGACGAAATCTAAAACCACTGCATCGTAGGAGATATGTTGACATTATCTGTCAGTAGGTTAAAAAAAAACATCGGCATGTTTGTTGAGGTCTTTGGGGCAGATTGATTCAATTTTCTCCCTATATACTTCAACATTTATTAACAATCACGTTTTACAAAAACACTATAATAGTAAAATAGGAGCTTTACATAATTTCTGTAGTGATTCAGAGATAGATATAACTAATCGATAGGTTGATTTGGTTCTTATAGAATGAGGAAAACGACTATCTTTGGGTTGATCGGTACCGGTAAGAAAAATATAAGTACTTTATTTCGTATAACAGTCACATTTCTCTGATACCTGGCTAGAACTACACAAACAATAAGGATAGGGGTGTCAAAATTTATAAGTATGGTCATGTATACTCTGTTAAAGTATGACTCAGATATATCTAGTATTTTTCTGTTTTCTCTTTCTTCTGTACTGTCATTATGCATAGGTGCCACATACAACATGTATATATGTCTTCGTTTCTTTCCTTTTCTTCTCTTTGCTTGATATTGTATAGATATTTTCCCTCTCATGAGGTTTTTTTCTAAGTGTCCTTGGGTTTTATCCTTGTTCGTTTATTATCTATATATAGTTGCCGTTTGGAAAATAAAGACGAGATTCAGTATTTATTTGTTATCAGGTGATTAATAACCAAAAAGGTATGTAGCGAGAGAAATATGTTCGTACAAAAAAAAACAGGAAATAATAATATAGATCTCCAATAACAAAGAATTTCACAAATTAATAAATAATGATAGCTTATTGGTACGATCATATGAATCATTGTTGCTAGTTTTCTTAGTGACGTTATTTTTATTTTTCTTGGCAATATTCTTCACGTAATAATTTTTCACAAGAAAATTTCCATCCAATCGAAAGAATAAGATCGCTACTGAGGCAATAAATATTTTATTTATATACATTATTGAACTAGAAAGTGATGCATCTGCTAAGGAAATATCGACATAGGAATTGTCGAATTTTCAAGAACACATTTAGGTGCGTTTTTATGTAATCTCAAGTTTCTTATTATAAAGAACGATTTTTCTTAAAAGTGATAGTTCATTCTTACTTCAGTTTTATCTAAATTGATATATTCAAAGTGAAATGAATTTAAGAAACCAACAATATGATCTTTAATAATGTAGTTATGAGACAGATCTATTATAATTGAAAGGTATTCCTTCCCTTTTGTGACCCCAAATTTTTGGCTTTCTTGTGACCATTGTATAGTCTGAAGTAGTATCTATCGCGCTATTTCTTAAACCAACACTTTCATGAAAAAATTCGTTCGATCGAGCTGAAGCGTTTTCACAAACACTATACACTATTTGGGATGGGTATTTTTTTTTTGTTTCAAAAGAAATTGTTCTACTGATTTTTGGCAGTTCTTACAACAAAAACTCTATTCGAAAAAGAATGCCTTTTTTTTAGAGTACCTTTGCTATTTTGACTTTTATTCGAGGGACAAAAGATAATTGATGTCCATCCCAAAGAGTGTCTATTGCACGTAAAACAATTTTTAGTCTAGTCGAACATGGCATCTCGGAGAAACGGGCGCCAAAAATTGAGATCATTTCGGATCCCGATATTTCATAGACAACAACATCCGAAAACTTTGAGTGTATGACAACTTTTGCTCTACTCATCAAGACCTATCAAAATTTTCTGATGAGTTGTTTTGCAGATATATCGGAAAGGTGAAGGGCACAGTGCGTATTTTTCGCATATTAGACGGATATGTGACTTTCTTGCTTGGAAACGAATTTCTTCGTTCAGCAAGAATTGGATATCACGCAAAAAAACATTTATTAGGAAAATTTTTTCGACAAAAAATGCCTGAAGGGACTTTTGTTCTTATTTTTTCTTCAAAATCGTTTTGTGTTATATGCCATTCGGTGCAGTTAAATGTGCTGATCGGAAATATCTTATTTTTGTCGATTAAATATTTTCTCAAAGACAGAAACACTGAAAAACACCTAAAAAACAAACGTATTTTGGAAACCTATTGTGCAGTCCACAAATGCTTGTGCAAACAGAAAATAGAGACAGTAGATAGAAGAACATTTTGAGAAATTTGGAGTAGCTTGGAAGTTGAATGTGGATGAATTGATCATTTTACGTGCGTAGAGTCATTCGGATGACAGTATAAAAAAAAAATGAATGCATTTTTTCCTTAGAAATTAAACGTGCCACTTAAAAAATACTTTTTAATCACTGTATAGAGCTCGGATCGGAGGTTCAGAAAATGTACTTGATTTATCTGTTGAATAGTTTTATTTTGGCAGTTATAGATTTTGTTGAGGACATCATGTTTTTCAGATCAAACTTTGGGGGCCGATGATATTTCAGTTTCTTTGAAAGTGGTAACAAAGTAATTTATACGATTAGATGAACTACATTTTGAAGAGTATTTCCCTACATTTAAATTTTGAAAAAGTATGACTTTTATTTTTAGCCAAATGCCCTCCTAGATGCATACTCTGTGTGAGGGTAGGTATCCTTAGTGAAATTATGCACTTTCTGATTATATAAGAGCTAGTCTGATGTCAATATTATATATGGTGAAATTTTAAGTACACAGCGACTGTATTTACGACTAATTGTTGATACTTGAGAAAAGATTTGGAAAAAGTAGAATCATGATGAACATAATTTATATGAAGCATTTGCAGTAAGTATATTCAATAGGATAACTATCCGTTCGAATACACAGAAACATGAAAACTACGATATTATTAAAATCAGTGCACAATTGTTCAGCAGTATTCTATGTAACAAATTAGTCAATTAAAATGATGCGTCTGTTATTAAGTTCTATTCTCTAATTTCCTCAATTTTTTGTATCATATTTAAGTGTCTTTGAAATTATTGTCTAGGTTTCGACGACTTACAATCAAGCAGAGATGATATGAGATTAAAAAAAATAACGAGTCTTTTCCTGTCGTGACAATTTTCAATTAACATTTCAATAAACGACAGTTCCTTCATATGTAACTGTAAACAGAATACAAAATATGAGCTTTGCGGAGGTAGTAATTCATGTTAGAGGAACATTAAGCCCCGGTTAAAAAACCATGCTATGAAGTATGGCACTGTGCCTTTTTCGATTATATTTACTGCGGTTTTTTTCTTTTTCTTTTTTTTCGAATCACGGATTACGTGCATATAACAGATATCCCAGAAAAAAAATCTAATTTACTACAAGTACGAATAAAAGGTTTTAATATAAAAATTACTAGTCAAACATTCTAAGATGAAGACAATCAAACACGTACAAAATGTACTTCGAAACATAATTTTGTCGCTTTTCATCATCCTAGGTGTGGGACGTGCAAGATACAAATAAATCTAATTATCAATTGACTAACTCTTGACAAGCTCTGTCTGAATAATAAACTAAATTTCATTTGAAAAATTTGATCGGCATGCAATTGGACTTTTATCTTTTGCAAAAACTTTGAAAATTTTGACAAAAAAAAATTAAGGTCGATTTGTAAAACTCTTGTTTCTAAGTTCTATGTTAATTTTTTGCGTTTAATTATTGTCGTTGTTTTGCAAAAAAAGAGTGCCTTTTTTGTCCAGTATACGCAACGATTTAGCGTGAAATTAGAGATTCGTGAAAACAAGTGTGAAATAAAAATACAAATTTCTGACATTTCACGTCGCTTTATAACAAACTGCAGCATATACACATCGCTATGCCTTTCAAACAATCTTAATTAATGATGATGAAAAAGTATATAATTAAAAACATTGAAAGACTGCGAGAAGAGTCGTTAGGTGCACATCTACTCATAGAGAAAAGAGAAGTAGCTGTTGAAAGAAAGTGCTATTACAGAAAGCATTAGCCTTGAGGGCTGTATAATCTTGCGCATAATGTTGGCCTGGTTAATCTTATAGTGAAATGTTTTACACATATTTGTAGAAAATCAAATAAGGAATCTGTTAATAAAAAATCAAATCTATCTAATGAATATTGATGGAGACATTAATAAAATACTAAGAAGCCGATTTGTTCTTGAACAACTCTTACACAACGATCGTACGTAAAATTTAAGTCAAATTACTTTCGACTTTAATAGTAAATGTTTTCGCATTAGAAATAATGGAAAATTTTAAATAAAATCTATTTCGAACTTGTCGATTTACATTCGAATTAAATATTATTGGGAAATATCATTCTAAATTTAACTCTATTATTATAATATATTCAATGAAGATAATTAAATTTCAAATAGCCATCACAATAAATGAAAACAAAGTTTTAACACAAAGAACAAATTCTATGTCATTTAACATTATTTTAATATTTTCTACTCCACGAATAACTTATGGAAGAACGCTGAATAAAATAGTACTTGTCTTTAGAAAAGGTCAAAAAAACGTTTCAGCTTATCAAAGATGAAGCCGACCTTGAAACGCGTGTCATCTATTAGGATAGAAAAAAGTACACATTCGCAAACGCGCGAATTACATTCACAGACTACAAAAAAGAAAAGCAAAAGAACGATTATTTTATGTATTTATGATATAAAATTTTGTTGAATGAGTAATACATGGAAAGTAAGTACGTTTTGCTTTTGAGGACAAAATAAAACAATATCATGTTTTTTTGTTTTATATAATAAAGTTTCGTATGTAGTACTGAATTATATGAGAATAATAATTTTCTAAAAATGAGCTCCATATATCACAATTAAATCAAGCATAACTTCAACAATCTATTCGGGGTAAAAAGAAGTTTTTTTTTTTCTTTCTTATCGGTCGAAGCGGAAAAAAATCATTCGTGCAATCATATTGCACTTATACTAAGCCCTATTATCTGAGTACTGAAAAAAAAATATAGTTACATGGTAAGACATTCAAGTATTTTAGTTGTTGTTCTTTCAAGATGAAGCATTTAAGTTTTTTAACTTGATGGAAAAAAAATTTTACTTCGTTAAAATTTTTTTTATTGTTTACAAAAATGTCAGCTGACATAGATGTACGAAATCCTTATCAAGGAGCAAAATTTAATTCAAAACAGATTTTTCGTTATTATTTTCTTCAGTCTCAAGTTTTCTTCAATGATTGATGATGACATTCGACAGTAAATATTTGATTCCTATTATAGTAATTGGAAGCGAAGCAAAATCAAAAAGAAAAAAACTGATTAATTAAAATTTATGTCACGTCTATTGTGTAGAGTAGTACTCCCTCTTTTTTTATCTATTATTTCCTTCAAGGTTGTTTTTATTTTTTCGTTTAGCTTGATTGTATGTTTTTTATGCCGACGATGAGATAAATATAACCAATCGACAATGATTGTTTGCCAGTTTTTATGAAAAAACCTATCTAATATTTTTTTAACGAGCTGTTATAGTTATTTTTTTTAATATTTGTATTACATTTTAGAATTGATATGGATAAAACAACAAGTTATATAGAAAAAAAAATGCATAGAAAAACAAAAGGTCGTTGAAACAACACAACGGTCTATTAACAAAGTATTCAAAATAGAAAGTTCATAATCATTGAACAAAGCATAATTATGTAGTATTATATTTTACATTTTTTTCTTTTCTTTCTATTTGTTGTTATCTATTTTTACCATTAGCATCTGCATCTCTTCTAGTCATAAAATTTACAATAAGGAGCAGTAAGAGAAAAACGATACTCAGACAAGTGCATTAAGAACAAGAGAAAAAAACTGTAGAACAGGGTGAAAAGAAGAAGAAAAGAAAGAAAAAAGAGAGAAAAAATGTCGGTTGGGTGCTATAAATAATGGTTTATATGCGACCGCTTTATCTATATCTATGTGTAAGTGCATTTTTACTTTCTATGTCGTCGTCGATTCTGTGTGTTTATGTAGAGAGAATAGAGAAGAAAAAAAGAGAATAGTAGACTGTCTAATGTTTGTTTCGAAAATGGTCGTACGATATAAGCAGACTATAATTTTTTCAGTCTCCTAGCAATAGATAGGAAGCTTTATTCAGCATGCAATACATCAAAAATAACTAGAAAATAACCTAGATAAAAATAAGTAAGAATAATATTTTTTTAAATTTCAATAATTTAAAATATTTATTCAATATGTGTACAGATAAATTTTCATTATGAATTAAGAAACATGTCTATAACCAGTTTTTTTTCATCCTGTCCTCGCTCAAATAAGCGCACACTCAACCTTCCATACCTGGTCACGTTCGGATTTTTTTATTGGATGTTAGACTTTCACAAACATGCGAGTAGGCTTTGTTGAATTTGTACTTTTTTTTCTCATACTCTATAAAAATCACATTCTCGTTGATAAAATTAATCTTGAAATTATGAGCAATAAAAGAGTAGCATGATATAGAGAGTTTGTAAACAATTTTAATTATAATAAAAAAGTAAATAACATATACATATATATTTATATATATATATTGCTGCTTTCTATTTCAAAACGTTTTTTTCAATCATTGATTCTCAAGGCAATGATAGACTGCAAGAAAAAATTCTTTAAAATTTCGAACTGCTTTTTTCCTTTTATTTGCTTACTGTCTATCATTTCTTTAATATCAATATGCGTACATTTTTATTTTTCAATGTAGATTATTATTGCCTTTATGATATTTTTTTTTGCCTTGTATAGGAATAATATATTTGCTTTTCTTCTCGTTCTTTATTAGCGAAGGCGTGTCTACATATTTCAATAGCCACATAAAAGGGGTCATGGGAGCAATCTTTATTGGTAGCAAATCATACTTGTTTTTTCTATCGTATTCGTTTTTTTTTCAGATAAACAGTAATGAAAGTAAAAAATTAACATAAACAATGAACAGTAATAGTGATAGAGTAGCATCAGTGATTGAAATTGTGGATGATGGTTCAACAAGTATCGATGATGACATGAGAGAAGTTGATTATAAGCAACAATCTCGAACGCATATATCACGTTCAAGTGCTGGTAGTACAAGTAGTACTGGTACAACAACAAATACAGGAACAAAACGTCAAAAAGATATATCACCCTGTTATGTATGTGGAGCAAAAGCAAATGGTTATAATTTTGACCAAAGTAATACCAACAACAAAAAAAAATCTAATAGATTTTAATTTAATTATTTCAATCTAGTCACTTGTGAATCATGTAAAGCATTCTTTCGTCGAAATGCATTAAAATCAATGGTAAAAATCTATTGATTATTATTAGAAGGAAAAAGAAAAAGTTTATTTATATTCAATATAATTTAGGACAAATTTCGTTGTCGTAATAATGATAATTGTGTTGTAACATCAGTAACACGTAAGCGTTGTAAACGATGTCGTTTAACTAAATGTTTTAAAGTTGGTAAGTATTTAATAAGAATAAAAAAATTATGTTAAAGAAAAATTTTATTTTCCTGATATAATTAGGTATGCGAAAGGAATGGATATTAACAGATGAAGAAAAAACTATAAAACGTCAAAAAATTGTACGTAATCGTCTGATTAAACAACAAGCACAAATGAACCTTCAACAGCAAACAAATGGTTTAGCTCATTCAAATGTTCAAATAAATATAACAACATCTGAAGTTAGTTTTTAAAAAGAACATTTCATAGTTTAGATTTCTTTTATTAGAATAAGATTAAAAATGTTAATGAGAAAAAATGAATTCCTGATATTAAATATTCGAAAATTCTATTTATATTATGTAAATGAGTTTTATTAAAGAAGCATTAGTAATAGTCTTCTTGATTTTTAATATAGAACAAAAGAAAAACAATAACATTAAATGAAAGCTCTTTAACTCTTTACCCTCTTGACATTTGCTGGTAGAGTTTGTATTGAGTCAGTCACAGTAGTAGTTTGTACAGGTGTTGATTATCACATTGATTTGATTAAATATTGGGACAAGGTCACTTCACTATAGAGATGCAGAATGAGCCATAAACGCACTATTCTTCTTGAATGACCTAAAAAATGGATTGTTTTAATTAATGTGATATTTTTACGTTTCTTTGCAGTTTTTATTTTCTTCTATTTGTAGAAAGCTGATAGTCTACTTTTCAGAAATTCTTGGTACTTTTAGAGTTCCAGCTTTCACTTCGTATGGGGCGATTCAAAACTTTAAATGGGAGAACCTGAGTCCACGCTGGATAAAACACGAAACGAATCATTTAGGCGGATAATATGTAGTTAGACGCTTGGAGAATCACATGTTTTCGGTTTGAAATAAACTTTTTTTTATCGCTTATATCGTCTTGGTATCGTTAGTCTTCATATTCTTTTTATAATATGAGATCATTGGTTCTGATTCAGATTTGATATCATCTATTCCTGTTGTTAAGATTTCGTCCAGATGGGCAGTTATGACATTAACTGTGAGTTTCTTATCTATCATCGATAAAAAAATATAAAAAAAAACAAACTCGTGCAATGTTGTTTGACTAGCTATCAGTTTTAATAAAGCTCTAAGGATGAACACCGTATTCTTCATGAGTTTATACAGTAAATAAAATAATTCTAGAAAAACATTTCTTCATGTTATTTACTACTAGTGGATCAGAATAACCCAAATTCTTATGAAAAATGATCCTTTCATATTTGTAATCAAAGTACTTTTAAAAATGACTCTGTAAATAGATTATATGTGTAGTATTATATGTCAATCTGACAAATCTCAGAATAATTAGTTTATGAAACTCAGTAAAATTAAAAAAAGAACAGATTGTTTTTCCTGTGTTGAAAGCATACTGTTTTTCAACTTGTAAATCTTAGTCAAGGAATGATCGAAAGAAGTTTAATTTTTTTTACGAACTTGTAGCTTATTGGAGACACCACACACTATTTGAGAATCTTCTCGATCTGATGCCTTATTACTCGAAATGAGAGGTTTCTATGAATGATCCATATCGTACATTTGTTCGCATTACCGACAATAGACTATCTGTCAGAGGATAGATAATCGTTTAAGTATCAAACTACCGTCGATTTTTGTCTGATTTAAATCATGTAGGTAATGAGGTTAAGACTTTAAATACTTCGAATAAAAATTTTTCCAATCAAGAATTAGTTTATTCTCTATAGAAAAAAATTCGATTAAATATTAATAAACATATGACATATACGAAAAGATCTTTGAAAAAATCTTTTGTTTCTTTTTTTTCCAACATTTACATCTTTTAGAAACCATTATCTAAAGTCGAGCAACCTCTTATCAGTCCATCGCCATTAGTATATATGAAACATTCACCTGATCAACAAATGTATGAACGTCAACAATACTTACTCGAACAATTATCCAATGGATATCAATTAATAACTAAACAGTATTCTCAACCAAATAAATTTGCTTATCGTAATAAAATTATATATCAAACAGATAATTTCGATTTAAAATTATCATTAGTTAAAGATTTAACACGAGAATTAACACAAATGACAACATTACGTTTATTGCATTATTTTAATTTAATACCTGAATTTCAATCGTTAACATCACAAGAAAAAAGATCTATTCTTACACAAAATATGTTAACAGTTTTTATGTTTCATGGAGCATTAACATATAATGCTGTTGATGATACATTTGTTGATCGTACAACAGGTAAAAATAGAAATTTTATTTATAAAAATAAATAATTTTTATTTTTAAATATAGATGATCAACCTTATGATGCAAAATATTTATTATATGTTTATGGAGCAAAAGTTTATACTAATTTTATTGTATTATCTAAAGGCTTAACGTCGGTTGCATATCAATACATAGTTGACAAACAATCAGAAGAAAATGCACATACTTTATTTTTATTGCTTATGGTAATTCTTTTATTTTCAAATGATTTTCAAGTTAATGCAATTGACAATAATCAATCGAAACTACATCAAATTCAACAGAGTTATATTGATATAGTATGCCGATTTTTACATGATCGATTTAGTTTGACTAGTGGTCGTCGAATGTTTCAAAAACTTGTTCCGTTACTTGTTGGTAAATATCAATACTGAGAAAAAAAAAACAAATCGTTTATTCTATATATATATCTATATATTATCAAAAAAATTCCATTGATTAGATTTGACTTCAATTGAAACAATTCTCGCTAGTCACTTGTTCTTTTTCTTGAAGATTAACTCTTTTCGGATATTAGTAAAATACGCTCTGAGCTACTTTAACTATCGTTTTACTTACGACTTTTACGAGTCGATAGATCTTGAGAACGTGAGTCTACTAAACCTTACTCGGAGCCAAAAGTTCAAAGAAATAAATATTCAGAAAAATAACGTTAAATGAAGTTTGATAAGTGCCTGATGGCTATATTCAATTTACAATATGTAGCCGAACTACATTTGACTTCATTTTAAGAACATTTATTTTGTTGAAACTATGGCTCGAGGTGGGTCAGAATATCTTAAAATGGATGCGGGCAGACTAGAAGGATTCAAGGCGTGTCAGAGTATCCTAATCTAAAATGTTTTTTTTTTCTTTTTATCTTCTAGATGTTTTTTATAGAATGCTTTATAATGGAATTCCGTAGACCGAGAAATTCAAACTCTATCGATTGATATATGTGCCGAGTAAAATGGCAATTAAAGTGGGTTAGAGCGTATATTGGCAATATCCAAATAATTGTGACTAGCCTTTTTTCTAATTTCTGAACCGTCTGATCCTATATCTAATCATGAAAAATTTATTTGTATAATTACAAGAAATTGACCCATTTCTTTTTTTTAAATATTCATAAATTCATTTTTATATATTAATTAGATCTTCAAAAATTATGTTCAACATTAGCCAATGTTAATTTATGTGAAATGGCTGAAGATGATGATCGATCAGTATCGTCACAAACATCAACAACGACAACAACCACAACAATAATGCCCACTTATAATTCTGACCAACAATCAGTTCAATCCTCACCAATATCATCTTCATTAGAATTTAATTCGACCATGATCAGTGGTGCATCTCATTTGAATGAATTACAAAAAGAAAATCGAGCACCATCGCCACCATTATCATTCAATTCAACATCATTATCACCAAATGTTCGATCATCACCATCAATTCTTTCAAATACCACACCAACGCTTCATAATTATTCACTATAAACAGTTTCTATACGATCAACTCTATTGTTTTGTTTTTCGTCTTTTTCTTTTTGTTTTGCGTCTTTTTCTTTTTGTTTTTGTATCCATCAGTCATAGAATATCAAGTCATGTGATTAGTGATGCTTGTTTCGTTTCTTTTTTTTTTAACTACATGTGAAACATACCAATACGTTTATGAATATCTATCAATATTCTATGTAGATGGTTGATTTAATGGCACATTTATTGTTTTCACTTTATTGATGTTCTTTGCTTCGTCTGTGTTACTGTTAACATAAACTTTCTTTTAGCTTCGATTTTGTATTTTCGTGCGCTAGCATAAGTTCTTGTGTTCCTTTCTTAACTATTTCTGATTATTGTTCTAGCTTTCGTTTGAGTTGTACAGGTACATATGGAAGACAATAAAAATCAGAGAAAAGGACAAATCTTTGAAAAGAAAAATGTAAAAGAAAAAATGAAGACTGTATAAGAAAATACTTTTGAGTTCTTTTGATTTTCTATGCTTAATTTAATTTCTATCATATATGTAATGATAAATTATAGCTTTTTGATTAATTCAAGGTATTTTAATAGGATTTTTGGTGTAATCAGTATCTGTCATTCATCGCATCATCAACTATAAATTAATCAATGATATTTTCCAACTATATGAGTAACACTTTGAAAGTGAGAATGAAAAGTAATTGAAAGTTATTCAGATAGATCTTTATTCATGATACATTTCCATGTAAAAAACATTCATTTAAAATAATAATTTCATTTTTATCGCGATCCTTCATTTCTTAAAATGTGATCCTATATTTCACATGTATCGTATATTGAACTACAAATATATGCTTCATCTTCTATGAAAGAACATTTGACGAAACTTTCCTTATATGTTCATTTGATAGAGCTTTTCAAGTCCTACAAAACTAGCTATTTTCAAGAATTTAAAAAAAGGGGGCTAGTCAACAAAATCCTGAGCTTAGTATTCTTAAGACTTAATTTGTGATTTTGTTGACTCATATTTGTCTGTTTTTCGGATAGAATAATCTCCTCACGGCTTCAAAGAAATCTCAGAATTGAAATCAATACAAAAAACTCACTCGACTTATGTACTTCGAGTTTTTTCTGTCATCTTTTTCTTTTTCGCACAAATTTAACTTGTCAAATGCTGCTTGAAGAAAAGAAAACAGATTATCATATAATAAGATTGATTTTGCAATTCAATTCATTTTTTCAAATGCTCCTGATAAGGTCACGAATAAAGATTTGAGGAAAAAAAACAGATGACAGAAAGAACCTGAAATACGCAAAAGTCAAGGCGATTTTTGTACCGGTTCCAAATATGAAATTGTTTTAAAGTCGAATGAAGATTATTCTATCTAAAAACTGGTGAATATTAATAAAAAAAAGTCACAAAATCTAGGCTTGAAGAGTAGTGAGCTTAAAATTATGTTGATTGACCCACTTTTTTAGATTCTTGAAAATAGTTAGTTTTTCAGGGTTTGAAAAGCTCTATAGAATCGGCATATAAATAGAATATCGTCGAAGTTGTTTTCATAGCAGATGAAGCATATATTTGAAGTTCATATAAGATACATGTGAAATAAAGCGTCACCATTGAAGAAATGTAGAATCTGGACGAAAATGAAATATTATTTTAAATGAATGACATTTACATGGAGATTTACCATAAGTAAAGGCCCATTAGAATAATATTGAATTATTTTTCATCTTCAGCTTAAAATTTTTACTTATATATTGTTAGAAAATGTTATTAACTAACTGATAGTTGATGTTGTGGCTAACCATGAGTCACGACTACACTTAACATCTTTTGAAAATTATCTGGAATGGATCAGCAAGTAATAATCTATCGTTTTATATATGATTGGATTAAATTTACTAATGTAAATCAAAAGGATTCACAATATGTTTATACAAGCTCCTTTTTTTTCTGAAACGTAATTTTTCTTTTAAACTAAAAGAGTTGTTTCGTTTGATGTTTTTTCTATTTGAGATGAAATCAATTTGACATTTTTGATAAACTATTAATATAAATTTTTCTTAATTTAATTTCCAGAAATTGTAGAAATAAATTCATTTTTAGTTCTATTTAAGTTGTTAAAAAGAAAAAAGGCTGAGCTAATTTCTATATTGAGTTCTATACAGTACATCACCAAAGGAGACTTTTATATCTTAGAACCACAAAAAGATAGGAATCATTTAAAAACAGTATGATCAGTTTTTGGATTCATTGTCTTTAATTCTTGTGTTTCGTAGGTCTCATGGTAGAGGAAAAAATTGAAGCAATAACTACATAAGATCTGAATAATATCTTCATTCAACTGTTACTTATTCATTTTCTCAATATCCGATCTCGCAGCCGAATCTAGAATGAAGAGCTTTAATGAAAGTAACTCTGATGAGCTTGGTATATTGTACTAAAATCTTGTCATCTCATCATTCATCTCTCTTACGTATGTCCCAAGTATGGTTCAATGAGAGAGTCACTATGATGAAAGAGTAACTTTCAACTAATGAAAACTGTCAGTCTTACTTCTATTCAGCTATTGAAATCTTTTAAATAAAAAAAGTAGCATTGATTCTGATATTCTTTGTAATACATCATTACTCTCTCTACCTAATCACACGATCTAGAAAATTACTACATTTATATTTTGTTCAAAACTTTTTGTGTATTAATGTCAGTTGATATAATTTTTACTATTGATCATTTATATGACAAGCAGTGATATAGTCAGGAGTATGGTGATTGAGCAATAGCCTACAAATTTAAAAGCAATTGCTCATAGATTGTTTTGAAATGATATCATTTACCTAATGCCGAAAAATCTTGATATATATATATATATATACATGCATAAGGGCTCAAGTGGTGTCATTTTAATGCATTATATTTTGTTGTGATCTAATTTAGTGAGCCAGAAAGAATAACTAATTTTTTTCCTATTAAACTGATGTTTATTATGATAATTATTCGATGGTGTTTTTCTTTCTGCCAAAATACTCATTATTCCAGTTAAATTCGTTGATATTTTTATTTGTGTTTACTTATGCTTTTTGACATGATTTATTCAAATACTCACAAACTACTAGCTGTCACAATTTTCAAAATATTCATTTTATAATTATCATTATTATTTTATGATGTCAATATGAGTTTCTTTAAAATTATACCTTAAGATAATATCAAGTTCTACTAGAAAAAAAATAGTCTAACGAGGGAAGTTCTTTAAGTAATCAATCGCTTTTTCGTAGAAACATATATGACTGTAAGCAGTTCACTGTGCTGATTCCGAATATCAGAATCTTAGCGACGGCCCTTAGACCTTTCTAGATTTCGTGTTATATCTGTGAACTTCCTTCTGATAAGCATGTTTCTCATCAAATTCAATCTTTTAATTAGTCTGCCGCATACCACTAGACAAAATATACACAGAAATACTTTTTTTTATAGACGCGTCAACCTCAAGTTTCAAATGCTAAGATGGACTGTAAAGCAGACAAAAACTAAATATGCATAGGTACTGTTTTGGGTTTAATATTTTTCGCATAACGAAAAGATCAAGAAATAATTTTATCGTATGTATTGTATTACAGAATCTCGCTCAATTTATCAATATTTTTTTTGAAAATATGTCCTCACATTGCCAATGTTTTATATTTTGAGAAATTAGCATACGTATTTTCTACTTCTTGCATTGTTACATACTTTTCTGCATACAGTACAACTATGATTAATTTATGAAAATATGGTGATTAAACAAGAAATGTCAGTTGACTATTTGTAGTCAATATACGAATTACTTCCCTACTTTATAGTTTAGTACTTGAAACTTAAAATTGAAATGTCTATAAAAAAGTACTCCTGTGGATATTTTGTCTGGTGGTACGTGGCAGACTGATTAAAAACTTAAATTTGATGAGAAAGATCCTTATCGGAAGAGAGTTCACAGTTATTACACAGAATCCAGAAAGGCCTAAGGGCCGCTAAGACTCTGATAGTCGGAATCAGCACAGTGAACTCCATACAGATATGTATGTTTCTACGAAAAAACGATTGATCACCTGGGGGACTTTTCTCGTAAGAATGTTCAAGTTCTGATACAATACTATTTTTTAATAAAAATAAAACACTTACAAAATGTTTGAACAGTAATAATAAACATTTTTGTCTTTCACACGTGTTCATTATCATCATCTTCTTTTGTTAGCAGAGAAGAAGAAAAAATGTGAAAAACAAAAGAAAGAATAGAAAAGAAAAGAAAAGAATGTAAGACAGGAAAAGAAAAAGCTGGAATGACAATGATCGAACAAGAATATTCGCGAATATTCTACAATGTACTCCTATTCAAGTATTCACCCTATATATATATGTGAGTACATGAGTCTCACCAGATATTTCAACGTTCAGTTGTGATTATCAAACTCTCTCAATACTTCTTCTACAAAATCAATGGCATTTTTTTCCAATTCATCGTTATCATCTTTTCGACGATCCATTTGATCGATTCTTTGGTGATCAATTGGATTTCTTCGATCCATGGTATAACTTCGATACATTTCCATCAGCTCTTTCTATTCGACCGAATACTTTTCGATGGATCAATGAACCATATCGATTAATGCATTCATCAAGTAATAAATCAAATGATGGCAAAAATCTTACACCAACATCACGATCACCAAATGCTGAAAAATATCGTGTTCAACTTAATATAGCAGGTTTCAATCCCGAAACAATTACAACAAAAGTTGAAGGTCGAAAAGTAATTGTCGAAGCGAAACAAGAAGATCGTCAACCTGATGGTGATTTTAATATTCGAGAACTACGAAAAACCTATGAACTTCCTGAACATGCTGGTAAGTAAAATAAATTAATATTCTATGAAACATTTGTATTTATAAATGTTTTTTTTTTCAAATAGATGTAAAACGTTTAGCTTCATATGTAACTCCAAATAATATGCTTGTCATCGAAGTACCTATTC